CTGCCTTCCAGGAGAGGTGTCTTCTCTCTGCAGCTCTGGCCACTGTTGTCAGCCACACATGAGAAGGGCATAAGATGCCCTTCTCTCAGGTCCCAGCAGGCTGCAGTGCTCTCACACTGTCCCCTGAAGCTGGGGGAACTCAGCTGCTACAGTGAGAAGTGCAGCATCCTGCTCCTCCCTTCTCTAGCAGGTTCCTTGCAACAGGGTACACAGTAGGATCCTTTATTGCTAGATCCCCTCTAACCAGCCAAATCCCTCAGGAGCTCTCAAGGACCCGTCACTGCCTGAATCCCTTTGATTAGATATCTGCCATCCCTTACTAAGGGCCCAATATTGGGCCTTGGGGCCCCATTGTCCATGCTTTGTACCTTTTTATGTTCTTCCCTTGGCTGCGAGGGCTCTGCTCTCCCTTTTTTTACCCCCAGGGCTTTAATCCCTGGGAGAGGAGCAAGGTGATGTGGAGGGGGAAGACCAAGAGGGTGGTGTGCATTCACTTCTGATGCTCTGCTCGCCAAGGTGCAGGGACAAAAAAGCCAGGCCTGGGTTTAGGCTGTCTTTATCCAAGTGACCTGGAGAACTGTGTTAGCTAGAGGTACCATAAGAGCAGGTAATGGCAGGACTGTCCTATCAGCGGGCAGCTAGGGTCCAGGTAAGATCAGAGCAGAGAGTTTTACAAAAGGATTGGGTGTGGGCTGTGCTTGAATAAGAGGTCAGAGGTCTTGTGGGAAGGTCTTCTCTATCAGTGCTCCATTCAGGAAACTGAACAAAACCACACATAAGGCTGAGTGATGATAAATACTTACATGAATGACATTAAATGGACGGAATATAATTTGGCTGGAGAATTTTCCCACCTTATTTCTGTCTTTCTGCTTTTTTTGCTCTCTGCTTTGCTTTCCAGAATGCAGCAAGTTGCCTTCCCTTTGTCTGTGCTCAGGGGGAGACCCCACAACTGGCAGAACAGCAGAGGCATTCTCCTTGGAAGATTGCTCTCATACCAAAGGCTGCACCACTGGCAGCCCAGCTGGCTGGGGGAGCTGAAGCCTGCTAAAGAGGATGACAGCCACATCAGCAACATTCTTCATGCTGCTGGCTACAGAATCTCATGCTATGCTGTTTCCTGACTAACCTCCACCTGATAGACACAGGGCAAGCATCCAAGATGTTCTTCTTTATCTTTTGCCCCATTCCAAATGTTATCAGCATAGCAACTTGCCAGGTAGGGTATGGTTACTTTGCATTAAGTCCTCAGTGCATTTCTTTCCCGTTATTTTTTCCCCAGTTTCCACCTTTAAGCCAAGTAAGCTTTCAGCATGCCCAGCATCATGCTAATTCCATGCCTTATGCAGAATCACTTTTATTTTGGACAGGTCCAAAAAAACCAGGGTTCTTGTGTGGGAATTTCTCCAATTTCTTCCACTGTCACAATTAATTAATTTAGCATTGTTTCAATGTCCTTGTTCTCTCTCACTGCTTCTTTTATACCCTGCTCTTCAGTTGTCTTCAAAGCTTGTGAAAAGGTTTCTAACTTCAGTAGCCATAGGAAATGATTTATTACTAGTTCTGATGGCTTCTGATAGTTGGTTTTTAGACTCTATTTTACCTTTGCTTTGTTGTGGTTTTACACTTAATGGCAGTCATGATCATTTCAATTTTCCTCATTTGGATGCAAGGTCAGCTTGTTGAAGAATGCATACTGATAATCCCTTTGGCTTAACATTTTAGCCACATCAGCTTCTTTTGCCTTTTGTCAAATCTTCTCAGGAGGTACTAGGTATTGTCTTTGGGCTGCCAATGTGATGCCCCTCTGTAACCTCCATGCCACTTGTGATGACTGAATTCCCTCAGCTGCCCCTCTCCATTCTGACTGGCTTGTAACAAGTGTCTCACTTCCCTGCAGCTTCCACCACAGCTGTGCTCAACTTCAAAAGGGGATTTTTTTGGAATGTGTGCGGTCACAGCTTTAGGATTCAAGTCCTTCTCTTTGCTTACAAATTCAATTTTAACTCAACTGGTTCAACTTGATTTTTAAAAGAAGTAAGGCACGTGCAATGGTGCTGTCTCCTCTGCTGTGAAGTGGACCTGCTTGCTAAATTGGGTGAAACTGGCTGTGAGGTGAAAGGCTTACAGATACTACCTTATGCAAACTTCATTGACAAGTAGGGGAGAAAGAGCGTTAGTGCTTCTGCTGCCTTCTGTTTGGGTCAGCTACCCAAGTGGTGCCCACTGAAGAGCAACCACCTAAAGGCAGCAGCTGGAGCATAAGTAATGAGGGAAAGCAAAGCAGGACTGTTGTGGCAAGCAAACATACAAGTCCTAGAAAGGAGGGGACTTGCAAGGTATGTGGGAGTTAGTACCATGCGAGGTACCTGGCAGTGCTGAGTGGGGATAAGATAAAAGATGTCTGTGAGGAAACACAGGTATTGTGAGAGGACAAGGCTATTTTCAGCCCCACAACTAACTGCTAGGCTTGATTCTCCGTGTCTCCCACCCATTTACATGCCATTAGTGCATATGAAATTCAAAGCACAATTTTTACCTTCAGGAATATCACTTCACTGTTGTTGTACAAGAGCCCAGCATTGTATACTATGGAAGTGTGGTTCAGGGTTGAATTCTAACAGCAAGCAACAACTCTGATGGCTGCGCAGGAAGAATTGAGCTGTCTCCTGATGTTTGAGTACAATCTAGTGTATTCTAATAAAATCAGCAGTTAGATCCTGAATTTGCATTTGAAATTCCTCAGCTATGTTTGCAGGTGGCAATGGCAAAAAACTCATGAAGCTACACTGTGACTTCCTTCTCTGTCTGCTGATTGTACTTCCCATTTCCTCATGGTGGAAAGTGTGAAACCCTGCCAGGAAGTAAGCCTCATTGGACTGTGAGCCTGTTGTGGTTTCACTGGCGAGGGGCAGGGGGAACCACGCAGAGGATTAGCCTGACTGAAATCTCAGCGTGAAATCTTAGAGCATAACTAGGTTTCAGCAAACACTTAGGGAGGCTTAATTCCAGTGAGAGGGCCAAGCCTGAAGATGAAGGGAAGTGCTGGAAGGATGTTGGAAAGAAAAGCAGGCAGCATGCATCTTCTCAAGGGACCGGGCTTCTGTCCTGTAACTGCTCTTCTTCTTGTATAAAAGTCACCCTCTTTGCACACAATACAAAAAGGAGAAGTGAAGCCAGCTCAGTGCACATGAGGAGGCTCCTTGGTAAAGAAATCCAGCTACATATGCACCATTCTGTTAAGGGGCAGTTCTCCATAGTCTGTGTTCAGATGTCCACTACATCCTTCCCTTGCCCTTTACCTTCTGTCACATTGTTCCCCTCTGTTACATGTTCTTCCTTGCACTGTCCTAGGTCACCTCCAACTCTGCCCTGTGTACCCTCCATGCTAGCTCCCTGGATGTCCTGCTAGTGGGTCATTCTGATCTGCCTTGAGGAAATTCTAGCTAGCCAAACTAACCAACCTCCTTTCTGGTTGTTTTGAGACCTTATCGTGGCTTTTAAATACTTAGAGGGGGCTTATAAGAAAGATGGAGGGAGACTTTTTATTAGCACCTGTAGTGACAGGACAAGGGGCAAAGATTTTAAACTGAAGGAAGCTAGATCCAGATTAGATATAAGGAAGAATTTTTTTACGTTGAGGGTGGTGAGGCACTGGAACAGGTTGCCTAGAGAAGCTGTGGATGCCCCCTCCCTGGAAGTGTTCAAGGCCAGGTTGGATGGGTCTTTGGGCAACATGGCCTAGTGGAAGATGTCCCTGCCCATGGCAGAGGGGTTGGAACTAGATGAGCTTTAAAGGTCCCCTCCAACCCAAACCATTCTGTGATTCTTGAGTCCTATCTGCTGACTGAGCCCTTCTCACCCTTTTTCTCCAGGGTATCCTGACTTATTGGCTTTTCTTCTGAGAAGTCTTTCTGATTCAGAGTGTATCTCAGTAGCCATTTCCCTTAACTGCCTCCTTTCAACATTTGCCCCAGCTTGAAATCAGGCTAAACAGTAGGCTGACATTTTCTCCAATATCAGAGGCCTTTACCAGACAGCAGAAAAGGGAGATAAATGACAACAAAAAATATAAAGCAGCCCTTTTCGGCCTCAGAAATGCAGCCTGACTCTCTGAAGCAAGCACTACTCTGAACTTCCACAGACTGTAAATCAGGTTGTGATAGAGAGGTCTCTGTGTGTGCTCTTCCCAATAACCTCTTCAACCATCAACACCAATTTTTTTTATTCCACTTTGCTTGTTCTCCTCCCTGACCCTGGCCTCATCCTTCTGTTTCTCCTTGGATATATCAAACTTCTGATTATTTCTGTTGCTCTGCCTAAGGCTGCAACTCCCCAATCTCACTTCTACAGGAACAGTTCCTCATCTGAGATTTATTCTAGTGCTAGCTGCCAACTGGGGCTGACTTTCCAGGATGAGACATAGCATGCGATATATGATGTAGTAAATGCAGCTTAACCACAAGAGACAAGTGAGGGCAGAATGCATTTTGTATTGGGCTGTGCTGCAGGTTAAGCTGGACTAAGACCCATGATAGGTGCAAACCTAAGAGCAATGGCAGAATTACTAACATACAAAGAAAGGCATGAAAATAAGGGTAGGAGAGAGGGCAAAGAAGAAGTATGAAAAAAGAAAAAAACAAGAGATCTTAAAAAGGAAACCCGTCAGCTGAGAATCTGATATGGGGAAGAAGGAGTGCAACTTCCTTTTCAGTTGTTAGGTTCTCATTTTGTTTTTTCTCTCAGAAGTTTCCATTGTTCCAACGCTGATTTCCTGGGCCAAGAAACTGAAGATCTGTTCAGAGCATTTCTGAGTTCCCAGGAATTCTCAGGTTATTGCCAGTGCTTCCAGTGTTCAGCACAGCCTTCTTTGACAGACAGAGGGTGAATGAACAGATGGGAAAGGCTCAGTAACTTATTGGTGTCTCCCTCTAGAACCAGGGACCAAAAAGACCCACCTTTTACATATCAAAACTAAGGACAGGGATCCATATGATTAAATGGCATCAGAAATCACCTACGCTGAGCTGAAATTCAAGAATGCATCACCAGCTCCAGTGGTCGAAGGTAAGAAAAGAGTGGGTTATGCAGGGGAAGGGGACCTGGAGGGAGGGGGGCTGAAGAATAGGGAATGGAGTCTTTTCCTTCTGTGACTCTGGTTCCTACCTGATCTTGACAAATTGGTGAGCAAAAGGAGTTGTCTACCACTACATAAACAGGACACTGGGGGAGTTTTGAAGGTTCAAGGAATGTCTACAAGAGGAAAGGTGAGAATCTTTAGATGGTTGGAGTTGCAACATGAACAAAGATAACTACTAGGGGCACAAGCAGTAGGTTTCAAGTGAGCATTCAGTAAGAAACATATTTGGGCTCCCTTAGTCTCCTGGTTGCAACACCAACAGTGGTGAATGGTAGAGGGTCCAGGATGGGTGCATAACCCTGGTACGATGCAGGCAGTAGCTGCCTCTCTATATGTTATCTAGTCTTGGATGACAACACTATTTTTGACAAATACTAAGTACCAACACTAGAGACTATGGTTTATTACAAACAATCTGATATGTCAGAAAGGTGGAGGGGCTCCCAGGGCAGCAAATGGCAGCAAATAAGGCCTGGCTGCTTACTGCCCTTGCATCTGAGAGAGTGAGGCTACAGATTCCTGCTTATGGAGAGAGCAGGAGTAGAGAACCAACCTGCCTCCTTACAGTAGAGCAGTTGCCCTCTGCGGCTTTGTGAGAGGTGGCATTGGCTGCAGAAACTTATAGCCCCATTGTCCTTGGTTGATTGAGAAATGGTCCTTGGAGAAGAGAGACCTAAAAGTTAAAAGGAAGAATGGGCTCGAACAAAACAACCTAAAATACACAGATGAAGTCTTATCCAAGATCTAGAGGAAGATCCAATCCTGCAATTGATGTCTACCACTCCTGAAAATAAATAACACACCAAACAGACAAATTTTTATTGCTATTAAAAACCATGGTTATAAAATGGTGCCTTTACTAGGCTTTGTGCAAATTTAAGGCATGTTCTGATCAGTATGTATTCTGTAATCATTATGCCACAAGTAGAAATGCATAGAGATGTTCCATGTATGGCTCATTGCTTCCACCCTTACATACAGGACCCTACACAACAGCAGGTTCCAGAGGTGTGAAAGTATGTGTGCATAAATGAATGAATGAATAAATAAATAAATTGTTATTGCTGTTAAGGATATTAACTTGCCTAGTTACAGCTTTATCTCAGTTTTACAATCTCAGACAGAGCAAGCATCAACTCCAGGTTATTCCTTGCCTGCTCCGAGGCATGAGTCATGGAAATAAAGCATGTACATACTCCTGACTGACTTGAAAGCTTACTGTTTTCGATGCACCAAGATTAGCTGGTGCTAATTACAGCTAGAATTTCCATCATGGTGAGGTGGTGGAAGTTCCCCATGGTGTTCCCAATGACCTCTTCCAAAGACACCTGATCCAGCCATGTATGCTTTTTCTGCTGATGCCAAGCTCATGCTATAGGTTTGGATGTGTGCTCAGGGTCTGTCTTTGGGGTGTGTCTGTCCAAGTGATCACACACTACTTGTAGCTTATACGTTGACTTCAGCCCTCTGTTCTCCCCAGGCATCTAGCCTAGCACAGCCTAGTTTTACTACAGCAGATCTCTGAACCTGACTTGGAAAGCAGAGATGTAAGGGAATTTTTTTTTTCTCTTCCAGTGATTCTGTGCCATCCTACCTTTGCACATTTTTTGTCTCCTGCCCTCATTCAACTTACACCAACCTTCTCCTACACAGAAAGTCCAAAAAGCTAAGAAGGAACTGAAGCAGGCATAAAAAGTTTCTTGGGGAAGTCAACATGAAATCTTCATGTGAATGTCTCAAGTATTACAGATAGATAGAGCGATGTTGCATTTGGCAGCTTTTGTCTCAGTCTAGAAAGACGTGGTTTCACGTGAGATTTTGAGGCCATGTGAAGGCCTCACCTCCAAATACCAGCAATTAGCATTGCTAGCTCACTGATGGGGCTGGGGCTGTGAACAGCGTCACTGAACCTGTTCTTCTCCAGAAACCACAGAGGTCCCCTGCTCTGTCCCAACGTGCCCCTCTCCAAAACTTCCATATCAGAACTGAAACTGCATTTTTTTTTTTTTTGAGCAGCTCTCCCTTGAGTTGTACATCCTTGGTATGTGGCCTGACTGAAGCATAAGTGACGGTGGTATTGTGTTTGGTGTGTTCCTTCACTTTTAGTACCTCCTGAGACCAAGAAGCATGAGCACCATCCCCAGAAATACCCACCTTGGCTCCCGTGGCTGATCTCACTGCTGCTTCTCTTGGTGTGCATTGCCCTTGTTGTTGTTCTCCTTGGTGAGTACGTGCAGGTTGGTTACAGATAGAGGTCTGGGATAAGTGCTGGGAGAAAAGCAGAGAAATCAGAGCCCACAGGGGAACATCTTCCAACCAGAAGGGAGCTTTTACTCAGGAACTGTTCTGTCATGAGAAAGGATGCAAGCACCAACATTTGGACTCAGAAAACCCAACTGTTGAATATTTGAAAACTAAGCAGCAAAATCTTTCCTGACTACTTAAACATTGGGGATTTAAGGGTACAGTTGTGACATGGCACAAACTCTTCTCTTGCAGGCCAGACAAACCAGATGTTTTGGCCAAATGGTATGTGGGAGCTAGGACTACCACAGCATTACACCAGATAGTTCTGTTATACACATCCTCTTTCTTAGAATGATGAAAAGAGTTATGTGGGAACTAACTCCTGGTGGTCTCTAGTCTCATGTCTTATTTGAAGCATGGCCATCTTCAGAATTTCAGGGTTACTTGGGCTTTCTGAAAGGTCTCAGGCTTTTCTGCCCTGACTTTGTATATGTCTGCATACATCCCCCAGATCTTCCACTGTTTTCCCTGAGGCCTCTTCAGTGTTCCCAGATTGCACATCCCCATCTTGGCTCTTTGAAATCGTGGAACAATTCTCTACCTGCATACCACACAAAAAAGAACTTAATTACATTCAGCAGAGGGAAAAAAAAAAACCTGGAGATGACAGCACAAGAAGGGCTAATTCTGCTGCCTTTCCTCTCCCTTTCCAGTTGTTTCCCGCTCCCATAGCAGTACCCAGCCCACAGTACTGCAGCAGAAATTCACAGAGTGGCAGTGCATCTTGGCAGTGTCGCAAGGCAAAGGTCAGTAGTGCTGGCACGGTTGCAGGAGGTCTTTGGGATGGGGACAATGAATACTGGGTCTGCTCTGACAGCAAGCAGCAGCGGAAGCAGACTCTTCGGAGGCAGATTCCAGAGGAGATGGGTGGAAAGAAAAAGGATTTCCTGCTAGCAGCTTAGGGGGAGGAGAGGGCCATGTTAGTGATGTCCTGGAGGGCAGGGTGGCTGTGAACACTGACAAAACAAAAGCGGCAGATACAGAGCCACAGGGAAGGTTAACAATGGAGCAATAATAAAAGTGCAGCTCTAGTCAAGGAAAAAAAAGCAGTATTCCCTGTTTCCTGGGGCCTAAAGGAGACTCTACAAGCAGACGTCAAACCAGATCACCAAAATAACTTTGACAAGTCAAGACCTGAAATAATTTACAAGGATTATGATGGCTTTGTGTATATAAATCTCATTGGTCATACCGCAAAGCAATGGGAAGAAATATCTGTACTATCCTTGTTATTCAAGCTCTTTCTGTCAGGAAGAGTGATCTAAGGAGAACACAAGCATTGTCCCTGGAGAATAGGGATCCTTGCAGTCACCATCTCTCTCATTATTAGCATTTATCTCTGTGGTCTCTCCCTGCACAGAGCAAGGCTGGACATGCTGCCCAAAGGGCTGGAAACGCTTTCAAGAAAGCTGCTATTACCTGTCAGAAGATATGATGCGCTGGGCTGAGAGTGTGCAGAACTGCACTGGGATGGGCTCCCACCTGGTGGTGATTAACAGCGAAGCAGAGCAGGTAGGTGCAGGGCTGAGAGAGGGGCACAGCAGCCAGAGACACAGTGCCAGGCCCCGGAGGGGACTCGGAGCCCTCCTTGCTCCTGCAGCTGAGGGGAGATATCCTTTCTGCACCCTTTCAGCACCGGCTCCCCTCTGCCACCAGCCCCAGCCCACAGGGACTCCTGCTGCCTCCCTCTGCTCAGTCCTGCACCTCATGGACATTGCACTCTCCCTGATTTCCAGGCTTTCCTCACCAAAGAGCTACCACAGTCTCCAACAAGAGCAAATTACTACATTGGTCTGCATGCGCAGGAGGTGGGCAAGTGGCGCTGGGTGGACCAGACTCCATTTAATGAAGAGGGAGCGTGAGTATCCTTGGATGGAGAGTGTTTGGTGCGGCTCCTGGTAATGTGAGAGAGTAGGAGAGATGTGAAGGTGTCTGACGGTGCATGAGGGGGAGGTGAGACAACTCCCTGTGACAGGACAGTGATGGAGCATGAGAGGGCTGTGTAGGACACCAGGTTCACATGGCTCTATCCATCATGCTGGTTAGTGGTTGTTAGTTAACTACCTGTGACATGGCCATCAATGCTGTAGGCACAGAAGAAGCTGCATCTTGCCAGTGGGAAGAACCCCTCAGAGAATACCATCCTTGCCTAAACTCCATATGGCCCCCACCATGCATATGTGCACATATGTGCATGGGCAGGGCCAGTGCTGTGATGCTCTGGAAGAGATGGGGCACAGGGAGAGATCACCAGGGCTGTCCTTGCTGTGTCTTCTTCTGGAGGACAAAGTCGCCTTGGAGGCAGACACATGCCTCTGCTGGGTGGAAAGTGCACGGGGTGAGCGGTGGGGAGCAGCTCCCCCCACCAGGACTGAGCAGGGCCCTGTTGTGCTGGCTGTAGGAAGAAGGCAGGTTTCCACATAAGACTGGTGCCAATGGGACAGCAGAGGGGGAGGAAGGATACAGCTTCTGTGTGTGAATCAGCATCTACAATTTTTCCCTCTCCCCTCCAAGCCTTGCATCCCACTGTGGCCTTTTCCAGCAGTGCTCTACAGGGTACGCTGGGGAGTAACATGTCTGTCTCTATCGCAGGTTCTGGAGGCAAGATGAACCAAGTAATGTGGCAGTTGAGATGTGCGTTGTTATCCATACGATTTCAGAAATACGCAACTGGAATGATGTTCGATGTGAGCACCATTATCGAATTTGTGAAGCTGTAGCAGTAACTCTGATGGAGCAACCCTCATCTTGAGTAAAACTGAGAGATGAGCAGTGAGCTGGGAACAGCTCAGGGCTGTGTTGGGAGGGGTGGGGGGCCCTGGATCCTGCATCTTCAGTCTTCTGGGTGAGAGGATGTGAGTGGAAGTGATATTATGCTGTGTCCAGCATCCCTAGTGCACATATCGGCTCAGGGAACACATGAAGGCTCAGGGTCATCAAAGCAGGTCCTGGGCTCTTGCGTCCTCTTCCCTCTGAGTGGGTGCAGCAGCCACTGGGTGAAAAGAGGTTGAACTCTGCAGAAAGAAGACAGAGGAATGGAAGACAGATGTTCAGAGATGTGATTTCCTTTGTCTCCCTGAGCAGTGGTGTCTGCTTTTTCTTGGGGCAGACAGCGAATGTCCTCTAATTGCACTGATTTCCTATAAAAGAGAAAATACAATATTAGATCAATGAAAAAGTCTTTGTGCTTTCTCTCTCTTTCTCTCTCTTCCTCTTTCCACATTTTGTACAAACAGGATCCAAAGATGTTGCTGTGCCAGGATAGACCCTTACACAACTACTGCAGCATATGTTGCATCCACCCAGTGAGAGTAAACCCCTCAGAGACAACGTGGCTACACAGTCCCATTGCACACAGCCAAAGCTCTGGAGAGGACTAGGCACAGGAAATTGGCTCTAGGAATATTTTAAGTATCTGTTTCCATGGCTGAAAGTCTTGCTCAGCGGAGCATCAGGGATGGAGAAATAGAGATGCACTTCACTCACAAGAGCGAAGCCGCACGGTATTTTATTAATAAGAAGGTTCAATGGTAAATGCAACAGTGGTTTAACAAGGTTCGATGGCAAGGTACACTTGATTATTTACTGCATATTGGACAGGGTCAGACAAAACTGTCAGGGAGACCCTCCCATTGAGTCATGAGGTTCAGAGATGACCCCCTTGTTTTCTAAACTCCCAGAGGAGTCTAGGTGCAGCTGGATCCACACCTAGTCCCAGACTTGGTCAACGGTTTATGTCTAAAGGATCGTATGTGCACAATCAATCCTTTATATCAGAGAGCTAAGATTTTCAAAGTTTCAGTGCACTTATTCCAAATTCACTTACCAAGTAGCTGACACAATAAGGATTCTCTCAACCTCGAGGGGTAAACTTGTGAGGCACCCCTACTCAAGGGGAGATCCTGGTGTGCAGCCCACTGCTGTGCGTGAGAGCTCAAAGGGCTCTTGGGCTGTTCAATGTTAGCTTCTTCCAGTCTTGGCTTGAGTTGGACATTGACCAGTACTGCGGTAAGGTGGGCACATTGCCCAAATCAGCCCTTGGCTATTGTGTTGCTATCTGTCTCCGAATCCACTTTGAGCCAGAGGCAGCCATCACACAAAAAGAAATGGACCAGGCACATCCATTACCATTGCCACTGGTGGTTATCACTTGAGCAGGGTTATGGGAAATAAAGGTCAGGTTGGAGCGGGTGGGAGCACACCGTCACAGAGAGTAACAGGAACTTGTGCCAGGAGTCTGACCTGCACATGGTTGACCAAGTATGAGGAGAATCCTCTCTCTGTGTCCCAAAGAGAGGGGAGAAATTGTACTAGAAACAAGGTGAGCAGGAGATTTGGCTTCCTAAACTAATCAATGGGAGTAGTTCTGTGAACGGCAGTGGGTGGTGGCAGGAGCTGCTGAATCCCATAGCCCAGCAGACACAAGTCTGCTGCAGCTCCAGGTCCCCAGCTCCAGCTGGTGTATGCACAATATGTACATATATGGGTACATATAGAAGAAAAAGGGTACGTACACATAAGCAGACACACAGACAGAATGCACTGACATAAACACAATTATCTGTTGTAATCCACTGGAAGGCAGAAGTACACCAGAGCTGGAACAATCTTCCACATGAGTGAGAGTCCTTGTCTTCAAATTTCTGAAGCTGCAGCATCAAGTGTCTGATGGAGGAAGCCTCATCCTGAGTAAAACTGAGAGACCAGCAGTGACCTGACAAGAACAGAAGATTTTTTGGAATGTATGTGAATGCTGGAGTCTGCATCTTCACTCTGCTGCATGGGAATGTGAGTGGAAGTGATACAGTTGGTGAGCACCAACCTTCTCTTCCCCAGGCTGAACACTTCTAACTCTCTCAGCCTCCCCTTGTATGAAAGATGCTCCAAAAGATGCTCCATTTGCCTTTTCAAGACATAGGAAACTTCCCTCAATTACTGCAGCCTGTCAAAGACACTGGCTTTGCAATGAGATTGGCCTTTTCCTATAGCTTATTTGGACACATGGTTAGTGATATGGTCAGCTGCCTGGGTAACAACCTGCAAAGAACAATCCAGCACTGTGCTCATTACTTTAGTGACTCTCCAGACAACAGCCCATACTCCCTCTTCGTTCTCTTGGTAACATGCACTCTGTGGCCTGCTGTCATTAGTGCCTGCTGTCTGGGTGTGCTGCACAATGGGCTGGAGACGCTTTCAAAAATGCTGCTACTTTGCATTGAAAGGCAAAAGCCCAGCTAGAACTCAGTCTGGCCACTGTTGTAAGGGATAACAAAAACTGTTTTTACAAATACATTAACAACAAAAAGAGAGCTAAGGAGAATCTCTATCCCTTATTGGAAGCCCAAGGGAACACGGCCACCAAGGATGAGGAAAAAGCTAAGGTGCTTTTAATGCATTCTTTGCCTCAGTCAATAGTCAGACCAGTTGTTCCCAGGGCATTCAGCCCCCTGAGCTGGAAAACAGGGACAGAGAGCAGAATAAACCTCCCATGGTCCAGGAGGAAGCAGTTAATGTCCTGCTATGTCACCTGGACACTCACAAGTGTATGGGGCTGGAAGGGATCCACCTGAGAGTACTGAAGGAGCTGGTGGAGGAGCTTGCCAAGCCACTCCCCATCATTTATCAGCAGTCCTGGTTAACAGGGGAGGTCCCAGATGACTGGAGGCTTGCTAATGTGATGCCTATCTACAAGAAGGGCTGGAAGGAGGATTCAGGGAACTACAGGCCTGTCAGCCTGACCTTGGTACCGGGGAAGGTTATG